GCAGGGTGAGCTCCTGTTTCCTCCCCAGTTCCTGTAAACCCAACAGTTCGAAAACTCACGTTAGTAGATAAATGAGTACTCTCACTCCGGTGGGAGGAAAAATGCTGGAGGCGCCTTGCGAAAAGGAGTCGAGAGCAGTTGCCGGTAAGCGCGAAAAACCGTGTGCGCCCAAAAAGGGCGCGAAGCAACGGAAACTCCGCCTCCTGTGCTCGCCAGCTGGGCTCTGCCCTAGGAAGGAGGCTCTGGCAAACCACTTCTGAAACAATTGCCTTGAAAACTGCAAAAGGACTCATCCAAGCAGTCACTGCAGAGTCGGTAACGACTGAACAAATATTTAAAAAAAAAAAAAAAAAGGGACCTCATCCAAATCTATGTACAGCAATGAATTGCTTGAAAAGTACTTCCCAAATTTCATTGTTTTATGAAGATACTGTGTGTTACAATAGAATTCCTATTTTAATGTTCATGTCAATTTATAATTCTCTTGACTAACTAAAATCAAGTTCTGTTAAATTCCATCAGAATTATTTCTGATAAGCCTGTTGAGGATTAAAGTATCTAGATGATTTACATACAAAGCTGCATAGAATCAAAGTATATAATAAGCTGTTATCTAATATTTCTTTTGTAAGGGAAAACAATATAAAAAGTCACTCTGATAATCTGGCCATTTGCCCTCTAGGCTTCTTCATATATTGATGACTGCTGCAGTTTCCTGTAGTAGGTACAGTTCCCCTTTGACTCCTTAGATTTTTCTAATGAAAGATAGTTAATTTTTATGCATGCATTTACAGCATTTTCATCATGATGATCACATTGGTAATTTCAATTTCTGCAGATATCACAATGTGGCAAGCAATGTTGTTAATGAAATATTGTAATCCAATCTAAATTTCCTACATAACCACAAAGTATTTGGTTCACATGGATTGTTAAACTTGAACACTTGCTAAATTATATGAAATCAGCTGACTTTTTATTGCATCATTTTTCACCTCAGTTTTATTCTACTTCTACTCCTGGACTCTTTGTTCTTAATTCCTTCTGCCTTGAAGGTCATTTCTCCCCAGCACTTCTGACAAATTTAACAAGGTTCCTCATCCAATCTCCCCCTCCCCCAGTCATTCCCAGTACAGATATCATGTGATAAAGGGAAATAAAGTTTCAGAATGAGGATCTGCAGGTAGGAGGCATATGCAAAAGCCCCATATTCTTTTCTAGCAATACTATAGTGTGTGTGAGTTTGTATGAATGTATAAAAATGTGATTTTATTTTCCAGGATAAGCGTGCAGTAGAGAGGCTTGAGGTGGAGAAAGTATACCATCCTTTTATTGCTGGTCCTTTCAACAAGCTGGTGAGTGAGATCATGCAGGAGACTGGGACACGCATAAATATCCCACCACCCAGCATCAACAGAACTGAGATAGTCTTCACTGGAGAGAAGGAGCAGCTGGCCCAAGCAGTGGCACGTGTTAAGAAGATCTATGAGGAGAAGGTATGGTCTTTCATGGTGTCTGTACAAGGCCATATGTTTCATTTTAATTAACTTCAAACAGTGGGGCTACAAGTGAGAAATGACAACATGAGACTATTTCTTTCCCCAGATGTTTGGGACACTGATGAGCAAGAGACAGCAGTGCAAAGATCAAGATGGTGGTGCAAGGGAGAATAGCTGTTGCATCAGGGTGGGAGAAATGAGTGACTGAGGAGGATGTGATGGGCTGTAGCTTGGGATCTGACTTCCATTCAAAATGGCTGATGCAACCACCAAAAGTAGGCTGCTAAGTACATGCAAAAAGAGAGTCCAAACTTTTTGGTGTACGTATTCAGACATGATTGGCCACAACCCTGCAGATAAAGTGCAGATCCAATACCAAAAAAATCTTGTCCTCCTGTGGTAGACTGTAGCTTCTCATTTGTAGGACATACATAAATCAAAGGCTTGTAGGGTATCACCCTATTCTGATCTTGTTTGGGCAAAATTCTCTTCTTTTTGATCTGTAATTCCCTCACTTTATCACCTTTTCTAGTAACTTGTCATTTCCTGGCTGATATTTCCCCACAGAAAAAGAAGACTACCACCATTGCTGTGGAGGTGAAGAAGTCCCAGCACAAGTATGTCATCGGCCCCAAAGGCAACTCCCTGCAGGAGATCTTGGAGAAAACTGGAGTCTCGGTTGAGATCCCCCCCACTGACAGCAGCTCAGAGACTGTGATACTGCGTGGCGAACCTGAAAAGCTTGGACAGGCATTGACTGAAGTCTATGCCAAGGTATTGAGGATGCCACTCAGCAAGGCCTTTCTTTTATGGATAACTGATTTAACATATGACTAGCTAGGCTTTTATAAGAAATAAATTGCTAACTTATAAGTGTTCAGAATGCAAATAATGTGTTCAGCAATAACACAAATTTCCCCAAGACCTGTACAAAATATAGAATGGTAGTCAAAATCAGTTATGTGATCAATTGCCTGTGGCCTGTGTAGCAGATCACCTGGCCTTTGAAGATGCTAGCCACAGTTGCCAGCGAAACATCAGGAAATCTGTTGTCTAGACCATGGTCAATAAACCCTGAAGCTCAAAACTGCCCAACTGTGTGATAGTTTTAGAATGTTACTGTGACCTGTGACGGCTGCAGTATCAAGTCTGGAATGAGTTTCAGAATCTTGCAGTCAAGAATATTGCAGTGGGATAGGAATTGGAGTTGTTGGTATCAGTACAGTGTAAGAAATATGTACTGCTCATGGAATGTTAAAACTTCACACACAATGTCTTTTCTAGGCCAATAGTTTCACAGTCTCCTCGGTCTCAGCCCCCTCTTGGCTTCATCGTTTCATCATTGGCAAGAAGGGGCAAAACTTGGCCAAAATCACACAACAAATGCCAAAGGTAAGAGTTCATAAAAGTGGATTTCTACATTAACATTGGATTTGCGGAATTGCTGGAAGGAGTAGCTCAAGATGTATATATACATATGTTCCATATAGCTGATACCAGATTTATTATTGAGAAAATACTTAACAAAATGTCCATCCCCAGGAGAATAGAGAAAAATGAATTGAACTGGAAAGCTTTGGAAAATGTTTTTTTACACCACCTTTAAATTGTCTGATGCTTGAAATTCCATAATTTTACTCTTGTGAAATAGGGGTGAGTATAAGAGGGAGAGAGAAAGTTGACAGCAAGACTGAAAATGAGAAAATAGGTTCCTTTTGCTACACCTTTCATTTTCAATAAGGGTAGGTTTTCAAAAACACTTAGGCATTTTAAAAATTAAAGTACTTCACCAAAACCAAATTGCAGTTAATAAAATGGCAGTTAAAACAAGCTAATTCTCAGTGAAAACTGTGAATTTTTAGCCAATAGTTACATTGCCATTAGGGAGGAATTCCGTAGAGAGGGTGCCACTACCAAGAAAGTTCTGTTCCAGGTGGCCTCTCATTTCTTCTCTGAAAGCATGGGTACCTAAATGAGGCCTTAATGCTTTAACATTTGGGTAGTTTCTTAAATTTCTTTCATTTGCAGTTGGTGGTTACATACCATTTTGTCTGAGAGGCTACTTGAATTACCATATTTAAAAATGACAACAAATGCCTTTAGGTGTTTGGTGGCAGGGTAGGAGAAGAAAAAAGCACAGATCAATTTGTCTGCTACTAACTGATCCTTCTTTCATTCTGGTGCTGAACTGTGTCTATTATTAAAAGGTTCATATAGAATTCACTGAAGGGGAAGATAAAATCACTCTGGAAGGACCCACAGAAGATGTGAATGTGGCTCAAGATCAGATTGAGAGCATGGTCAAAGATCTGGTAAGTGAGGAGCCATAACATCTGATTTTGTCAAGCTACTTTATCAAATGGAGAATACTAAAAGCTGTCAGTACAGCTTGGAAACAATTACTCCTCTTAGGAATAAATACACAATTCTGAATATTGTAGCAAAGTAAGATCACTGTGTTCAGTGGAATTTACAAATGTTGGTATATGTGCTTAGGACTGCAGTCCTGGAGACAAAAGGTGACCCTTAAACTTTTCAGTGCGATGACCAAAAGGAGAGCAAAGGGTTATATGAGAACATATTTCAAGTAAGCCCATAGCAAAGTTGCTCAAAAAGTATAGTATGTACTCATGCTTGAGTTAATTAGCTTAGTTGAACATGTGGACTATATAGGTTGATATTGCTGCCATGTTTCTTTTGTTTCTCTTTGTAGTAGAGAAGCGTGTTGTCCCTAACTTTGATTTAACTATGCTTTTACAGATTAATCGGATGGATTATGCAGAAATCAATATAGATCACAAATTCCACAGACATCTTATTGGAAAGAATGGAGCCAATAGTGAGTTAAATGTTATTTGGGTCTCTAGAAATGAGCTGTCCTAGAAAATTAATCATATATTTAGTGACTGTGACAACGGGAGTCCTTTATAAAGCAGCAATTTATTTGTAATTATAATAATTTGATATAGAGAATGTAGGTTCTATATAAGTGCATTTTGGGAAAAGCTATTTTAGAAACATCTTTCTTCCCCCTTCTCAGTTATTTTTTCTACATACACAGTTCTTTTCCAACAATCTTTAAAAACCTCTGTGTTTATTAAACATTAAACTCCAAATTCTACTCTTCTACCTTATTCTCTATGAATATGTATTACCTTAGAACCAAAGTAACTGTTAAAAGTCCCTTGTTCTGAAACCCAGAAATCTTGGGTGTAGCATATATGCAATGGAAAGTGGTGTTACTAGCTTTTGTTTAATTTGCAGTCAACAGAATTAAGGATCAGTATAAAGTATCTGTGCGGATCCCTCCAGACAATGAGAAAAGTAACCTCATCAGGATTGAAGGAGACCCTCAGGGAGTTCAAGAGGCCAAGAGAGAGCTGTTGGATCTTGCATCACGTATGGTGAGCCATGGAGGGCTAAGCTGTGACTAGGAGGAGGAGAAAGTTAACTATTATTGAGGATTTCTGTCAGTCTTTAGCACATATAAATTATGTTCATATAGCATGCTTAACCAGATCGGATGAACCCCTAGCAACTGCATTCACAGAACATGCTAACTGATCTGTGTTAACCTTGATTTGTTTTTTTGGGTTAATGTTTTGGTTATTTTGGGGTTTATTGTTATTGGTACCCAGAAAATGAGTAAATTTGATGGGCTAAAATGCTTGTGTGAACACAGCCATATTTTCTGTACCTGGATAACAAAAAGACATTATGAAAGTGTAAATTGTCTAAATAAAGGTATAGTAAAGCCTCAGTTTAACTGATCATGGGGATGGGATGTCCATTAAATCATGGTGTCCTTTACATTAACACTGTGATTAAACAGATAAATCCTTGATTGAAAGGACAAGTCCAAATGAAATATTTATCCACTGTGCTAAAGTTTGCAAGATGAAGCTCTCTTAAACCAAAGATTTACTGTGTTTTGATTAATCGGCAGATCAAATGAACTGTAGTTTGGAACTAAATAGTGGATGATATATATTTTCAGAATACAGAATATTTTTCTTTCTGTTTCCCCCCCCCACCCCAGGAAAATGAACGCACAAAGGACTTGATCATTGACCAGAAATTTCATAGAACTATCATTGGACAGAAGGGTGAACGGATTCGGGATACCCGGGATAAATTTCCAGAGGTACCAAAATATATACATGTGTCTTTATATATTGATTTTGTTAAAAACTGCACCCATAAATTACAATTTTTTTTTAAAATGTGTCTGCACACATGCATGCACAAATATGTATGTAAATATATATTTGTATTGCTATCAACAACACTCGGTTCTAGAAAGTGCTCTGATAATAGCAAAAACCAGCATCCTTGACATTGAGCCTATTAGTGGTCCCACAGGCTGAACTGAAGCTGAAGCAGATTTTTTGCACGTTTTTTCATTCTGCCTCCTTTACATCCAATCTTAACCCAGTAAATGTGAGTGATGGGTCATTTATGGCAATAAGCAGCATAGAGCTAGAAGAACCATAGAAAAACAGGGTGAGATGTGGATTCCACAATACAGAAATAGTCTCTGAAATCTCACAAATGAATAAGTAAATTCAATTGTCTGTACACCTGAAATATTTAAATTAAGGCTTTCTTGCAGGTTATTATCAACTTTCCAGATCCATCGCACAAGAGTGATATTGTCCAACTTAGAGGACCCAAGAATGAGGTGGAAAAATGCACAAAGTACATGCAGAAAATGGTGGCAGATTTGGTAGGATATCTTTACTTTTTTCCCCCATTGTAACTGCATCAGAGTTTGGCTAATCTTAAGAAATCAATGTTTTTTGAGTAATTGAGATACTTTGCTATCCTTTGTAACATTAGTATCTTAGATTTATTCATATGTTTGGGAACAAGTTATTAGGCTGACCAATCAGATAAGCAGGAAATATGTAATATAATATACAACTGGCATTTAGAAGATTACAATTTGCTATTCCTAATGTAAATTTGGAGTTTACATATGGCTCTAAGGGCTAATAGCTGTTGATAGTTTTATCAACAGCTATGTCCATGAATATGTCCAATTCCATTTTAAAATCATCTAGGCCAGTTGGCTACACAACATATTATATGGCAATTAGAATATGCTTTAATTGTGAATATATGAAGAAGGGATTTCTTTTATCTGTCCTAATTCTACTATTAGTGCATTTTAGTGAGTTCCAGTGTGACAGAAGGAGAAATAAGCTTTTTCTCCACTTCATTCACATTATTTATGGTTTTATAATCCTCCCTCCCTCCCCAGAAATAAAAAGGAAAGAAAGAGGAAAGAAAAAAACACAAAAAGAAACAGAAACATATAAGAAATGGTTCAGCCTAATTTTTGAGCACATAATTAAACTTTGACCACAGAAAGCAGTATTGATCAGTCTCTACCATTACATCAGAAGGGAGACAGCTGATGAACAAAAAAATATTTTATATCTGGGGTCACACTACCTTTCCAACCTTGAAAAGTGATATTTTTTGCCCCTTCCATGCTTGATCCATCCATATAATGATGCATTTCCAAGTTTTTCTTATAGAATTTAGAAGTACATTCACATTTTTAAATGTATTGATTTTTGTAACATCATGCCAATAAACTTATGAATATTAAATAAAAATGGGGCAATAGTGGAACAAGCTGATATATTATATCCTCACCCATTTTACACTTCCAACATAATGAAATGTTTTGTTAAACATTGTCTGGAATGTCCAGTCAATGTGAAAAAGAATCTTTTGCTGAATTAGTCTCATCTTAAGATCATACTTAATATTCTTTAAGATCCTTTGCCATTGATTTCTAATATTATCTATTTTTAAAATTTATTGATATTGTAGAAAGATAGTTTATGGGAATTGACAGAGATCAGTAAAATACAAATGGTGTGATATTTGTTGATAGTTCTCTGTGTCCATGATTTATTGATCCTAATCTTTTTTTCGTGTAAGGTTGAGAATAGCTATTCTATTTCTGTTCCCATCTTCAAACAATTCCACAAGAACATCATTGGCAAAGGAGGTGCAAATATTAAAAAGGTAGGATTACTTGGATTCTACTTCAAATCATTGGTTTTTCATTGCTCCTGAGTATTGATACCACCTCCTACTGATACTGATGATGCTTCACTTTCACAGCAAAAAAAGTGCATCATATTGCTTAGAAAGCAAACTATGCCTGTCCTCTTAACTTCTGTTTTAAACTTTCACTGTAGATCCGTGAAGAATGCAACACTAAGATAGATCTACCAGCAGAGAACAGTAATTCAGAAACAATTGTCATCACAGGAAAACGAGCCAACTGCGAAGCTGCTCGCCATAGGATTCTCTCCATCCAGAAAGAATTGGTAGGAGAAATAAGGGTTAAGGGTAGTCCTTGTTTAGCAACTGTTCACAGTTATAATGGTAATGAAAATATAACTTTGCAACCAATCCTCATATTTACAACTTTTGCAGGTCTGTAAAGCAAAGGAAAGCTGAAGTAAGATCATAAGCACAGGTGCAGTTTCACTTAGCAACTGCTTTGCTTAACAACTGAGTTGCCAGTTCCAATTGTGGTCCCTAAACAAGGACTACCTGTATATTCTAGCAGTGTACTTGATGCAATATGAATTTAAATATATATATCTGTGTCTTTAAAGCCTCCTCGTTCAGTCCTAGTCAGCAAAAGTCCATTAAGGATTATCAGAGTTAACAACATATCTATTTCAACCTTGATCAAATAAACCCACTTTATAGTCCTTCCTTTTACTTTTAACAATCTTGATCTTTTTACATACCTTTCCTTCACTTCTAACAATCTTGATCTTTAATTCCACAAATAAAATCCTGGAATTTGATTTCTTCTCATTTTTTTCTTCGTCCCTTCTCACAAAATTCTTCACAACTTTAACAGGTCTCTTTTGTATATCCAGTGTAGGAAGGTTATCCAGGTACTCTTTTGGTTTGGTAAAACATCAACCTGTTTCATTTGTGTATCCAGTGTGGCATCTCCTTCCACATCGTTCCCATAACTCGTCATTTTTAGATCCACTTTCAAATCAGACTCAGTCCTATCTGGTACAGCTTGCTCCTTTTCCATATCATCTTCCAAACACAGTCTGTCTATAATGGCAGACATTTTTAAAATTAACTTCTGAGTCCATTATTCATAAATATCTTTTAATACCTCCAATGTTAAAGTATTTTGCTCCATTCTGTATTAGGAAACCAAATTTAAGTGCTGTTCTCCTTTAATTGTAATCTTTAATTTCTTCTGGTTCCCTCTAGTGTCCAACCTTCAAAATCCCATCTTATCATTTTTTTTTTAAAGTATTCCAAACAACAGCATTTTCTCACAGGAAGGATTTTTACAGTTAGTTTCAAAATCTTACTTCAAATCCATCTGGACCCTTAGTCTGTTTATAACTTTCCAAAATCAACACTCTAATTGCCCTTTTGCTGTTTATTCCCCAGAAAAGAAAATTTTAAGTCCTTAAACTTGTATAAAACTTCTTTTGCTAATGATTGAAGGAAACTCACCCAGTGTAGTAAAACTTGCCTTTATGAAGGTTCCTAATATCCAAAAAGCAGTTAACAAGCAATTTCCAAAGGTGATTAAGAAAGGAAATATGCAACCCCTGTGTCCATTTTAAAGGTGCCAAACTGTGGTTTGGGCTACAATGGCATTCCCTTATCTCCCAGCACTCTAAACCCACCAGAGACTGCTATTTTGCCATCTCCTTGCGAGGAGCAGTTGTCTGGAGCACTTGTGGGTGATCCCAGTCCTCTCTTTGTCCAGAGAGGAATTGTAAAGAGTCAGCTTTTCACTCTTACTCTTCATTCCACCACAGGCATTGGCTCTGCTCTCAGCAGAGCTGTCTTCAGTTTGCCATTTCTTTTTTGGAAGTGAGAGCAAACATATTTTTGGATGTATTATTGAAGCATTGAATTTCAATGATCTTCCTCCCCTAGGTTCTTTGTATATCTTTTATAGACAGTTGGAAAAAGATCAGAACAGGCTATTTTGTACAGGTAATTCTCAAGTTACAATGGCAATTGGGACTGGAATTGCGGTTGTAAAACACAACGTCATGTGACTGCATTGCTTAGCAACAGCAATCTCTGCAGTCCCCATTGCCATCATTAAGTGAGAATCATGGGTCATTAAGCGAGGACCTCCTCACAACTTCCTGCTGGCTTCCAACAACCAAAGTCACTGGGGAAGCTGACAGGAAGTTGCAGGTCCCAGCCAACTTGCAAGCAAGCCAGCAGCCAAGAAAGTGGCTGCTGCTGGATGGGAGAGGAAGCAAGAGGGTGTGCGGGTGGCCATGAAGATGTGTGAGTGCAATGGGGCTTGGGGTGGCTGCTGCCAAGCGGAAGAGGGTGTGCAAGTGGCGGGGAAGGCATGGCACAAACATGGCAGGTCTTGGGGCACTTGCTGCTGGTTGGGAGAGAGGGTGCATGAGGATGTGTGAATGGCAGGGGAGATGTGGTGGGGTTTGGGGTGGCTGCTGCCAGGTGGGAAAGGGTGTGTGAGGGTGTACGAGTGGCAGGGGAGGGTGCGTGAGTGGCTGAGGAGGTGCAGTTGCAAGCACAGCAAGGCTGAAGGAGGGTGTGCGGGTGGCCAGTGAGGCACAGTGTGAGCACAGAGGGGCTGGAGGAGGGTGTGCAGGTAGGGGAGACTTACCTGAGCAACTTGCAACCTTCCCTGCCGACTTCCCCATTGACTTTGCTTGTGGAAGCCAGCAGGAAAGATCAGAAATTGCGATCATGTTACTGCAAGATGCTGCAACCCTTGTAAGTGCTAGCTAGTTGCCAAATGCCCAGATTGTGATCGCAGGTGCTGGGATGGCCAGAACTTTGAGGACTGGTTGTAACCACCATTTGTTCAGCGCCATCATAACTTCAAACGGTCGCTGAACGAGTGGTCGTTAATGGAAGACTACCTGTATGCTCATTATACAGTGAATTGAACACTAAATTAAATTTGGTTAAAGATCTATAAGGATTGAAAGTTCAGTGTATGTTTTATCTTCCTGTTAGTTCTTTAACTAGGTGGTATCTCTAACTAATTATTATTATTCCATTTTATTGTGAAAAGGACAATCCAGTAGAATTGACACAAAATAAAAATGGTAGTAACGCTGCCTGGTACAGTTGGAGACTGTTATTCATTGTTTGGCGCATGCCTGCGTTCACCTTCAGTTCTAAGTAAAAATGAATGAGAAAATTTGGAGAGAAGAACTCTTTGTAACTTCCAAATATTATTTATGTATGAGGGAGATTTTAAAAAATACTTCTTCTCCTAGGCTAATATCACAGAGGTGGAGGTCTCCATCCCTTCCAAGCTGCACAACTCACTCATTGGCGCCAAAGGTCGTTTCATCCGCTCCATCATGGAAGAATGCGGTGGAGTTCACATTCACTTCCCCACCGAAGGCTCAGGTAGTGATACAGTCACCATCAGGGGCCCTGCTCAGGATGTTGAAAAGGCAAAGAAACAACTCTTGCAATTGGCAGAAGAAAAGGTGATAATATGAATGTGTAAAAAGATAGATGCACATATCATTTCTCTCTCTGTCTCTCTCTTTATAGAATCTGGCTTGGTTTATTTGTTTTAAGGCCTAAACCAAGTATATCTTAAAGATTGCCTGCTTCATGGTGAATGGAAGCTGTAATCTTCTCACCAGCTGCTACTTAAGTCTTTATTGCTTGAAATAAACTATGTGCCAAAAGTGGACATAGTCTTTTTTATAGTGGATCAAAGCTGTGGAACTTCTAAGAATTGTTGCCTTGCTCCTTCCTTACTAGCTTTCAGATGTCTGCGTTTTTGCTTGCCTCCATTCCTCCCTGTTTTTTTTTATTATTGTGTTACTAATTAGCTTATATCAGGAATTTATAAATGTGTTGTTTTATATCATACTAGTTAGAAACTTAAATTCTTAATAACATTTGGAGTATGATCATTGTAGTAACTGACAGTATTTTAATACTGTCTTTTTGTTTCCTCAAGGTAGGTAACCAGTCATGATGATAAATTTTAAAAATACCAAAAGGCAGTGTCATGCATTTCAGGAGTGCAAGCCATACTTTCTTTGGCATTCTTACTATTCTCATTTAGTTTCAAGTAGACTTAACTATTTCACTTCTATTTCATTTGTCTCTATCTGTCTCTCCATGGAGCCCAAGGTGGTTATCATAACAATTTTTCATTGTAGATTAAATTGACAGTACAGAGTACATGAGGTTGAAGAAAGTACTTTGCCCAAGGTCATACATAAGTAGAGGTTCATAGCTAAGCAGGTTTTCCTGATCCAAGTCCAGTTTAATCTCTTTTATACCACCCTATTAAGAAAATCTGAAACTCAGTACAGATTATGCTTCCCAAGTAAAGCATCCTGAGTTCTATAGCTGAGATTTCCAGATAGGCTGAGAAAAAATCCAGAGTCCTGCTGCCCATCCATGTGTAGACAGTATTGAATTACATGATTCACTGGCAGCTTTTTGTGTTCCACGATAGTTCAGTGATTCTTTGGAAACTAATAATGTGCACATATACTTATGACATGATCTCCCTTGGTCTGAGCACATGAACATTTTTGAAAGTCCAGAAGAATCCACTCAAGGCAAGTGAAACAATATAAATTTAATTTATTTTTTGCATGATTTGTACAGATTTAATTTGGCTTTTCTTGCATATAACTTTATTCTTGTAGATGTTTCCTTTGAATATTCTAAAATAAGACTTTTTACCTGATTTACTCAAATCATCTGGAATCTAGTTGTTGATCTTGTGAACATATAGGTATGTTCACTTTTTCTAGCAAAAATAAAGGGAATTTGGACAAACAGCTTTCATTTCTTTCTTCCATGTAGCAAACCAAGAGTTATACTGTGGACTTGCGTGCCAAACCAGAATATCATAAATTCCTGATTGGCAAAGGTGGTGGCAATATTCGCAAGGTGCGGGATAATACTGGTGCTCGGATTATCTTTCCTACTTCGGAGGACAAAGATCAGGAACTGATTACTATCATGGGGACAGAAGATGCTGTCAAGGAGGCCCAGAAAGAGCTGGAGGTGCTCATTAAGAACCTGGTAAGGAGAGCATCATAATTTTTTTATTTATATAGGAATTGCATTTCCAAGCTGACATGGATTTAAAAACAATGTTGTTAGATATGGCAATCCATTATATCTCTTACGTGTTTATAGGATAATGTAGTTGAAGATTCCATGACTGTGGATCCAAAGCATCACCGGTACTTTGTCATCCGGAAAGGGCAGGTACTGCGGATCATTGCAGAGGAGTATGGGGGTGTAATGGTCAGTTTTCCACGGCCTGGTACACAGAGTGACAAGGTCACTCTTAAAGGAGCAAAAGATTGTGTGGAAGCAGCAAAAAAACGCATCCTTGAAATCATTGATGATTTGGTAAGTATCCATCTTTAATTGACTATGGAGAATAAAGACAATGTGTGTCCTTGTCTCTTACGCCTTTAGTTCATGTTATTGGAACAGAAGAAAGCAAGTTGGTGTTCATTCTAGCTTATCTTCATGCCTGAATGATAAAACTTCAAATTCTTACACAAATGTGTAGGATATATATGTATGTGTGTATGTGTGTATAATTGGGGGAAAACTCTTTTTCAGAACCACATCTCTTTTTAGCCTCGAACTGAACCTTGGGATCCTCCTGTGGCCTTTAATGATCCCAGCCCACTTGGTGATTCTGCTGATTCCTATTGTCGTTCTGCATGGATGTTTCCTAATCTTGGAAATAAATTAATAGTTTTACAAAAAGTACATCTTTGCTGAATTAGTGTTGTCTTTGCTTCTTTAAAATATGTAAAGGGAAGAGTAGAATTCAAGATATAGCTCACTGGTTTTTATACCAAAACACAGTTGCCAGCCAGATTTGATAGGTCTAGTTTGATTTCTTTCATTGGCTCCTTTCACAGCTACATATACATTTTGAGATCTTCCTATGTTCCCCTTGGAATTGTATTTTCAGAAGGATAACTTAATCTGTAAATCATAGTGTAAGACTTTCTTCTCTCATAGGAAGCCCAGGTGACAATAGAATGCACTATTGCTCAGAAGTACCATCGTTCTATTATGGGCCCTAAAGGTTCTAGGATCCAACAGATTACTCGTGACCATGGTGTTCAGATCAAATTTCCAGACCGAGAGGAAAGTACAGGTACAGTAACTCACAAACTTGCTCTTAGGAGGAATGTCTTTGGGACATTGACCAATATGATTCCATAATCCAATAACAGTAACTTTTTGAAAAAGAAGGTGTATACAGTATATAATGGCTACTCATAGAAGTTTTCAGCAAAATTATTACTTTTAGATTTTTATCAGTGTAAAAATAATTCCACGTGTTATCTAGGAGTGGCCTAAAAACAGTATTACTGTCTAAAGAGCAGCAAGCTGAAGAGTTGGAATAACCAGGGTTTTTAAAAAAAAATATTGATATGTTGCACATTGTAATCTGTTATTTAGCTATTGATTTTGACTTGTTGTTTGCCAGTAATTAATTCTATTGTGTATGCATAGGATGTGACTAAAGTGAGGTAGATATTGATATGCAAAGCCAGACAGACTTGAACTGCCTATTCTTGTATTAAAGAAGAGGATGTTTGCTGAGTAGATGAAGAAGATGAATTAATAGAAATGTGGCAGTAGAGTTTAAGAGGCAGGTCACTAGAAATCTTCCCTCAAAATGGATAATGCAAGAAATAGAAGATAAAATGTATAGAGATGATTCTGCAGACAGGACCTGGCATGCTTATGTTCTTCCCTGAAAACAACAAACACAAACCCAGTGCACTGCTTAAGGAAAAAGAAGATTGGACCAGGAAATGGCAACACTTCAATTTATAATAGGGGATAGGGAGTTACATGTTATATGTTATATGAAACCTATATGTTCAGAAATCCAAGAGAATGAATGTAGTGATACTATTAAGAGCATGTGGAATAAAATAAATGGAAGAAAGAATAAATGTTGCAGCCTTTCTTGGTGGCCACTTCTAACCACTCAGCTGCCCAAATGCCAGTATTTTCTGCAAGCAAATCTTTCTCTTTCAAAGACTACATAGAGGCTTAAGAGTATCAGCTGTTATTGGTGCTATACTAATGAATAGACTGGGAACTGTAGGAAATGCAAAAGCTGAGTGTAGTCAAATGCATATCTTGAACTTCAAGAAAGAAGATTTTAAAAAAAACAACCCTAAGAGTAATGATAAGCTAATGGAGAAGTGAAGTCAAAACAGAGCAAGTTTCTAAAAGAATGAGTTACTAAAAGCATAGCTGCAAATAGATCCAACAAAGAAAAAGAGAAAATAGTAGAAGCCAAGGTAGCTGCACATTTTAAGGAAAATCAAAATGAACAGATGGGAAGGGGAAAGAGAAACTGGTCACTTGAGGAAAGTAAATTCAGGATGAGCTGAGATTAGCAACTTGTGCTAAGAAAAACCCAAATATTCTTCAGATATGTTTAAAATAAAAGGAAAAGAAACAGTATACCATCTCAGTGAAAATATATTTAAAAAGCAGATAATAAAGAGAAAGTCTATTGAAACCTTATTTTGGCTCAGTCATTTCTGCAAAGAGGATATGCACTGGACTGATGAAAAGTTACGAAGAGTTGATTGAAATAGCAAGATAAGGCTTAAGACTGATAGAAACGTATCAAGAGATACCCATTGACCCTGAATGAGTTTAAATCTCCAGGATCAGGTGGCTTTTGTCTTAAGGTATTCAAGTTACTTGGTAATTGTCTGATCAAAACTCTGCACATGAAGTATCAGATAACTAGAAGAGGGCAGTGTTTTCAGAGAGGTGGAAAAGGAGGGCATAGAGAATAACAGACTAATCAGTTTGACATTTAATACCTGGGAAGATTAAAGAAACTATCATAAAGTGATTGATCTGTAAACATCTAAAAAACAATGCAGTGATTACTGGAAGTCACATGGATTTGTTAAGACCAAGTCTTGTCAGATTAAGATTATCACATTCTTTTAGTTTGGTGTAGTACATTGGTCTAATGTACAGCATAGCTGCAGTTATAACTGAATACCTCAGAGGCGAAATCAGCAAACAAGAAAAAAAAAGCCAAACAGCGCACCACCAAAATGGAAGATCAGGTTGGAAAATAAGATCAGCATGCTAAGATCAGATGCAAGCAAGGTAGAACAGATGAAAGGAAAGAAGCTGAAGAACAAGAAGACCAAAGAATATCTGATCAAGAAATATCACGAAAGAAGCTGAAGAACAAGAAGACCAAAGAATATCTGATCAAGAAATATCACGAAAGAAGCTGAAGAACAAGAAGACCAAAGAATATCTGATCAAGAAATATCACGAAAGAAGCTGAAGAACAAGAAGACCAAAGAATATCTGATCAAGAAATATCACGAAAGAAGCTGAAGAACAAGAAGACCAAAGAATATCTGATCAAGAAATATCACGAAAGAAGCTGAAGAACAAGAAGACCAAAGAATATCTGATCAAGAAATATCACCTAGAAACAAAGAAGATCAAAGAAACACTGAAAATAATAAAGCTGCAAATAACAGCCATAACCAAAAGGATCACAAGATACAGACCTCGAATTGTACACTATAGCCAGAATCTCCAAAATCAGTTGACTCCCTGCCACATGATTGGGTAATCAAGTGCCTAGAAATAACAGAAGTCAGTAGAAACATCAA